TGGGCAGGAAGTGGCTTCCTCCGGCCGTGAGGTCACCGCCCTCGGGGACGCTGGGGCCTGGGCAGCGCCACAGCTCTGTCTCACGGGAGGTCCTGTCTGTCCACCCTTGTCTCCCTCCAGCCGTCCCCAGGAAGAGCTCTCCCAAGGCTCTGGGAGGGAGAGGGGACAGTGCTGATGTCAGCTGGTTTTAGGGGGGCATGGGCACCCCCAGTGAGCACTGAGTCTGACTCGGTCAGGACTGGAGGGATGGCTTTAGTTCGAGTCTCCCCTTGGCGTGACTTCAGCCGTTCGGTGGACGGTACTCACGGTCATTTAGCTGATGCCGTATCAGCCGCTGTGTGTTTTGAGAGCTTCATGTGTGTGACCTCGTTCAACTCTTGCAGTAGCCCTGGGTGTGGGTACTGTAAGCCTGTGGGATAGCCGGGGAAAGGAAGGCACAGAGAGGTTAAGCGGCTTCCCCAAGGTCACACAACCTGGAGGAGGCAGAGGATTTGAACCCATCTCTGACACCGAAGCCCACCCTGTCACTGCTGGACTGAGCACAGCTGGGCTTGTCTGGGGGGACGCTGTGCTCCCTGCCCCTTCTGTTTAATGACATCTGTCACATCTGGTGGCTGCTCTCTCTTTCTTGAAGCAGGTAGGCCACAGCCCGTCGCAGGACCTGGCTTGTTAGAGGAGGGGGTGGGCACGGGCTGAAGCAGGGGCCCCCGTGACTTTAGAGAGCGTTCAAGAGAGGCCAGTGGCCTGTCCATTCAGCCTGAGATGTTTGTTGAGTGCTTCCTACGTTCCAGGCACGGTTTGGGCTCGGGACATGGTGGGACCAGGGTGACATGGCCTGCCCTGTGGGGCTGGCATTGCAGCGAGGCATGCCCCTCGTCCAGGGCAGGGCTCTTGTCCTTGGCGCTGCTGATGCTCAGGCTGGACCGTTCCTTGCGGTGGCGGGGCCCGTCCTGTGCATTGTAGGGTGTGGAGCTGCATCCTGGCCCTCTCTGGCACGTGCCCCACTCCCGTCATGGTCACCAAAACGGTCCCCGGGAGCCAAATCGCCCCAGTGAGACCCCCTGGGTTAGGCGACCCACGGACCCCAGACCTCTCGTCCTGTGACCCTCTGCCCTGCTGAGGCTCCAGGAGGCTGCCCGTGTGGCAATCCACACTGAGGGGCAAGGAGAGAGGAGGGGCGTCCTGGGAGCTGGGTCCCCTGGTCTGCACCGTCGGCTCCACTGGGAGCTGATTTTGGCGTCTGGTACGGGCAGGATGCAGGCTTGAATTTTTCCACCAGTGACGAGCATGGGGGTCTCCGTCTTGGCACCGCTGACATTCGGAGCGGCATCGTCCTTGGGGTGGAGCCGTCCCGGGCACCACAGGGTGCTGAGCTGGTCCCTGGCCTCCGCTCACTCCGTGCTGTGAGCACCCCCAGTCGGGACCCCGCAGGTTCCCCGGACACCACCCAGGGTCCCTGGTTGGAACTGCTCTCCGGGGAGGGCGGCACTGGGGTCATTCCGGGCCAGTGCTCTCTCCTGGGCGTGGCGACTGGGTGACAAGGCAGCAGCTCCGGAGGGGACACTCAGGAAAGCTCTCTGAAGAGGCGCTCCCGGCCCCAAAAGACCAGAAGCAGCGGCTGGCACGGAGAGCGGGGAAGGGGCGGCCCAGGCAGAGGGAGCAGCCGGTGCCACAGCTGGGGCGGGGGACGGGCTGCTGTGGCCCGAGGTCACAGTCCAGGGTGGGGGAGGAGGCGAGTCCCTAGGGCCAGGACGCGGCCGCTATGGGAGCTGGAGGTGGCTGTGTCTCCTGACATGTCCCGGGGGGTGTCCTGGAGTCCTGTGATGCTCCCGGTGAGCCACTGCGGCCCTGGCACTGCTGGGGCGTTGTGGCAGGGCCCGAGCATCTGCTGCCTGCCACCCTGGGCTTCAGGGTCCCTGAGCCCCGGAGGCCGCCTGGAGGGGGTGGGGCAGGTGTGCCTGCGGGGGTGCAGCCCGGGGTCTCCTGTCGCCCGCAGGCCCCGCCCTCCCGAGGCCGCCGGCAGTTGATGCGGAAGGTGAAGAAACTGCGCCTGGACAAGGGGCACACGGGCGCGTGGCGGAGGTAAGGGGGTGGGACGCTGGCGGGGGCCCAGGAGACGCCTCCTGCCCCCGGGCCCACATGTCTCCGGGCCTTGGCTCTGGCTCTGCAGCGTGTGCGGGGCGTCTCCCGGTGCTGGGGACGTTGGGGTCGCACTGTTCCCTGGGACGGCTGCCCTGGACACCACGGGTGCCGTGCGTGTCCCCGGCATCCCCCCACCCCGTGCCAAGAGCACCCCCCATCGTGACACCCACACGTGTCCCCAGACACCGCCCAGCGTCCCTGTGGGCAGAACGGCCGGGGTGAGAGCCGCTGGCCTGGCTGTGAGGAGGTGGGCGTGGGTGCCCAGCACACGTGGGCTCGCGCCCCTCCTTGCGGGTGCCTCTGGCGAGCCAGCCTACTCTGGAGCCCGCTTTCCGGGCCCCGAGACGAGGATGATCCCAGAGCTCACCTCCTGCCACCGCCACCGCCACCGCAGTGTGGATTAAACATGATTAGACGTGCACAACCCCGGGCGGTCGGTGAATGCCATGGCTCAGCCTGACACGAGATGAGGAGGCTGGAGGATGCCTCGGCCGCGATCCTCCGCGGTCCTGGTTTTCCGACGTCCTCGGGAACGAACCGGAGCGCTGGGCTGGGGATACAAGGGCGGTGTCAGGCGCCCGGATTTCTCCAGACGTGGGTTCGAAACACGGGTGTCTGGAGTCAGTGACGGGCGGCACTGGCCTCCCTCCCTGACCTGCACGCACGAGGTCCCGCCTGTCTACAGGCCAGGTGTGCCCTGTGTGAAGCCAGGTCGGAAAGCCGGGGCCAGGTGACCCTGGGAGGCACTGGCAGGATGAAAGGTGACCACTGGTCCCCAGCAGCCCCGAATCGGGGGACTCTTGCCTGAAGTCCATCTTGAGGCGTTTTCGCCTCTGGAGCCTGGGTGGGACGTGGCCCTCCCCACCCGCCCCTCTGTCTGCCAAGTGCCCCTCCTCTGCCTTGTCCCTTCGTGGGTGGCCTGAGCTCAGAGCCACAGCCTGTGCTGAGTCTAGTGCCCTCCTGGCTCCCAGGTACTTCCCTCCTCCCTGACCCCGCACCTAGAGGCAGCAGCTCAGGCAGGGATCAACAGCTTTGGAGCTGGGCACGCCTATAATACCGGCTACTGTGAAGGCCAGGCAGTTGGACTCCGTTGAGGTCAAAACCAGCCTGGGCTGCCTAGTGAGATCCTCCATCTCTAAAAACAACAACAAAAAATCAAATGTAAAAGAGTTCACAGCACTCCCACCCAGCCTTGACAGTGGCTGCGCCAGGAGGTCTGGAGACACCTGCCAGTGGTGTCACGGGCCTCGAAGGCGCCCTGCCGATTGGCAGGAGGGACGTGTAGGTGGGCTGGGCTGAGTGCTGAGTGGCCTGCAGCCGCATTCACCTCCCAGCTGTGTCAACGGTCAGCTTGCAGACGGCCGCCAGGCTGGCCTGGGTGAAGAAAGTCCCGGCTTGGCTCGCTTGTTCACCGGGCCCCTCTATAGCCTGTCAGGCGGGGCTCTGCCCTGCGTGGGAAAGTGGCCAGTGGGCGCCGGGCTCCAGCACCCAGCCTCGGCCTGCCTGGAAGCTCGAGCTCAGGATTCTGGCCACATCCAGGAGGCTCCGGCAGCATCCCGATGTCTGATCTCATGTCCCAGCTCCTGGAGCGCGTCTTCGCTTTCTGGGCTGTCTGCGGCGACCGCGGGATCTGTGGGGGTCAGAGGCAAGATAAGTTAGATTGTTTGCTATGGAAATAAGCCACATGGTTGTGCAGGTGCCTCCAGCGCATGGCCCCTCAGTGGGCTCTGGAGGTCACTTATTTCCTGTGGTGAGCAGAGCCTGAATGGGGGCCACACAGTTGTGGAGGTGCTGCCTGAGCTGGGCTGAGGGTCTCCTGGGCTCAGTTTTCTGGGCTCGTGGCCAGCAGTGCCGGGGCCATGTGGGTTCTTGAGCGCAGCAGGTCCTGGTCCTGGCACCTGCCTGCTGCCGCCCATGGCTCCTGGCCATCCTGCCGGGAGCCTGTGGCTCTGTGGTGGGCCAGACTGTCCTGCGCCGGGGCCTGTGGCCAGCTGCCCATGGCCTCTGGGCTTGACTTGTTTGACCCGAGGGCCCAGCAGGCACGGATGGCCTCCGGTCCTCAGAACCACGCTAACCTCGCTCCTTCGGGCTGGAGGGTGGGCAGTGGCACCTGGGCCCTGGGCCCTAAGCCCCGACGGGCTTGAGCAGGATGGAGTGGGAAGCCCCTCTCTGTGCCAGGTAGCGTTGGGGGTCGGCCCACAGTGGACTTGCTGGTAAGCCCCCAGGGACCCTCCCCCTGGGGCCTTGTATGTCCCTAGGCTGGGGAAGCCCCACCCTTCTGTCTGTCGGGGGCCTTCAGGTGGGCCTTGGGCCCTCGGGGCCCTGCGGGGACTTCTGTGATTACTGGGCGGGTGGCACCTGTCTCTGTGGGAGGCTGCGGTGGGGGCGGGGCCCGGGCTGCCTGCATGGAGCCCCGTTTTCGCATTCCTCTGCTCTGACTGGGAGCAAGCCCCGCTGTCCCCCCAGCCTCGGCTTCTCACCTGGGCTGCGACGGGCCCGACGTGCTGGGTGGCCTTGTCAGGGCCTCGCTTTTCAAGGCGCCAGTGACGTGCCGGTGTCTCCTCCCCTTGCCCCTTGAAGCGGGCCGGGGTCCCTTCTCTGACAGTGTCCCTCTGGGGATCTCTCGCTGGCAAAGAGCCGAGCCTTCTGGGGACAAGGGCCCACCCTGCCCTTCCCTTCGCTTTCTCCGTCCTGCGGGTGTGACAGCAGCCTCAGTTTCCCCTTCGCACACGTGCGCCGGCTTCCTCGAGCAGCATCGCTTGTCCAGGAAGACCCAGGCGGGCGCGTTTGGCAAGGCCTCCCCCCCTTGAGCATGGAGGCAGGGGAGGCTGGCCGCGGTTCCCTCCTCCCAGACCACTGGCTCTTCCAGAACTGGGTCACTGCAGCCATGTTTAGCTTTCTTTAAAACAAATATTTGCCCGGCCAGTCCGGTCCGGCCAAGAAGCGTGCAGAGCAGGGCGTGGGGGAGCAGGGCTGGGGCCGTGACAGAGCGCCAGGCCTCGCGGGCCCAGGGCGTCCTGAGTGGGTGGGCAAGTGGGAAGGTCTGGGGGAGGCTGAGCGCACTTACCCTCTCACCGGGATCTCTGACATCCCTGGAAGCGTGTTCCGGTTCCTCCTGTGCTTCCAGTGAGGCGCGAGGGTCTCCCCCGCCGGACCCGGCTGGCGGCACAGGCAGCCAGCTTGGCTTTTCATTCCTTCCTCCTGGGCCTGTGTCCCGACCGAATTTGCCTCAGCAGGCTTGGCAGGAGATGCTTGTTGCACAGCGTTCCGTGAAACACCTCCTGGGTGCCAGGTGCCACCCAGGTCTCTAGGGACACAGCTGTGAACGGGACAGATGCGGGGAGACAGGCGTTCTGTGATTAGTCCTTGTGAGGAGGTTGAGGGAGGGGGCAGCCCGGTGGCACATGAAAGATGACCAGAGAGACTAGCCTCAGCATAGATGCTTGTGGAAAGTTTCTGAGAACCTGCCAAATATTTTGACAGAGATTTGATGAGAAGTTAGTCAAGCAAAGAGGAACAAGTGCTCCAGGGACAGCATGTGCAAGGGCCCTGGGGTGGGAAGGAGTCTGGCCTGTTAGAGCAGAGAGGAAAATGGTTCAGCAGAGCACGGTACAAAGGTGGATGGGAGTCAAGGGTTTGGTGGAGTCTGACGGTAGCCTTGAAAGTTGAGGGGAAGACTGGTTTTTGTCCTAGGGGCTGTAGAAAACCGGGAAGGGTTTTAAGTGATGGGATCAGACTTGGAAGCAGGTGTGGGGAGATGGTTACATTCATTCCGCAGAACCTGGCTGCGGTGGTTTGTGTCTGAAATCCCAGCATTTGGGGAGGCTGATGTAGAAGGAGCACTTGAAACCACGAGTTCGATACCAGCCTGGGCAATACAGTGAGACCCGATATCTTGAAAACAATTTTTTAGCCGGACTCAGTGGCTCAGCCTGTAATCCCGCGCCTTTGGGAGGCTGAGATGAGTGGATTGCCTGAGCCCGCGGGTTTGAGACCCGCCTGGGCAGCGAGACCTCATCTCTACAATAAATCAAAAAATCAGCCGGGCGTGGTAGCGCATGCCTGTAATTCTGGCTACTCGGAAGGCTGAGGCGGAAGGATCGCCGGAGCCCAGCAGGTCGAGGCTGCGATGGCCGA